GGAAAAGTTATTTGAGAAAGGCCAATGTTGTTGTGGCCCTTGTTGTTCAAGTCCAATCCTGCTTCCTTTTAGACTAAACAAGACAAGCTCACACAAAAGCGGGAGAAGGGAGCAGCGACAGCAGAAAATGCAGCTTCCGTTTTCGGTGCTGTTTTGTAGCCTCGCTGCAGGAGGAATGCAGGCACCACACATAGCCTTAGCAGCCATGCTCAGATCTGGGAAATACACACCAATGTGAGATTAAGACAGTAATTTCAATTGCTTTTTGAGTAGCTGTTCCACTGTAATGCTGAAAAAGGTTTGGACTGTCAGCTAAGTTGGCCTTCTATTAACAGAATGAAAGAAGAGTAGGGGGATGCATTCAAGGACAGAAGGCTTGGAAAGAAAGCATTGGGTAAGAGGAGGAGCAGAATGATTAGAAGTGTCATGTTCCAAGTCTTGGCCAAGGTGAAGCTGGAAACAGCCACCAGTCTCATCCAGCTAGCTTGGGTGAGGATGTCTAGGGGCTGTGCAGTAAGGCACCAGAAATTCAGGTAGCACTTTCTTCTCCTCCAGGTTGAGGCTTACCTTCTAGCTTACCCTCTGTGGGCAGTTAAGGATCCTGAGATGAAGAAACAGGTGAAATAGATTTATCTTTTTTCTTTGCCTATTACAAGTTCTTAGGTTCGTTTTGAGGTCAGTGGTTTTGGAATCAGAAAATCAAGTGGAGTAGGACCTCAGTAAACTCCTAAGAAGTTGGCCTGTCTGAGCGAATTTTATTTCTTTAACTTTCGCTGACTTATTTTTTAAGAATTTTCTGAGACAAGTTGTGGACAACTCAATATAAAGGCTTTTGCACTGTGAAATTGGCTAAACTTTTGCCCATATCAGAGTATCACATCACACCCTTTTGCTTTCCATGCCGTGCTCCATGTCTGATACCCAGCTACCCACACATCAGTCAGATGGGAATAATGGTCCTGCTAGAACTCAGAGAAATTTTTGCTTCACCCTTGAAATTGTTTTAAGTTGGAATAAACCAATGTGTCACAGAGATAGAGATTTTGCTTTTCAGAAGTGATTTCATGAATCAAAGAAAAGTCCCCACTGAGTAAAGATGCATGGTTTTTTTTTTTCACTGTATGGAGGAACTATAACTCTCTAACTCTGTCAGACATGGGGAATTCTCATGAGAATCTGAAGGTGTGCAGTTTCTCATTGAACTTTTCTCATGTAGGAGGTTACAACTCTTCTTTCCCTTTAGCATAGTGCGGGCTGCTTCCTCATCTTGCAGTACCAGTTGGAGCGTCAAGTCGGGGGAAACAAGCTGCTGTTAAAGGTTTCCCTGTGGACATATGCCAGCACGCCGTGGATGTCTTCTCACCAGCCTTTCTCCCTACACACACACACAGGTTTCCTACTGTATGTGGGAGTCATGGTCAGCCTTCGTTTAGCGTCTCTGATGTTCTCCCCTTGATATTTCTTCATGTCCAAAAAGAATGTCTACCTCCGTGGGTCACAGTGTGTTATCAAAATGTGCCTGTAATCACCAAATGTGAAGGTTGTGAGTTTTACTTCTTCTTTCCCCTTTCAGGTAAGGATCTCTCTTCACGCAGTGAAGATGATCTGTCCTGCATATTTGGGAAGCGACAGAAGAGTTTGAAGGGACAGGTAAAAAAGAGGCTTCACCTTTCTCATTTCCTTGTGTATTATTCCTTATAACAAAACCATATACAAGTGTCTTTCAGCTGATAAGATCACCAGATGGCCGTTAAAAGCAAGGAGTTTTCTGCCTGTAAAACTGCTGTTGTATCTATGTGAAGGCTGCAGTTGGAGGGCTGTGCTCTGAACCGTTAGGAAATGAGTGAATTTAATACATCACCTTCTGAATTACTACGATATAACTTCTGTAGAGTTAGGAAACTTGAGTGTTTAAGTTTTACATTTGTTAGGCAGTGTACATGGCAAAGTACGTAAATTTTGCTTGATGTGAAAGATCCATAAATATCCAAAGTAAAATTTGACATTCAGTAGCAGCTGGCCAGTCTCAACAAACTACCCTTATTTTGCAAGAATTTGGAAAGGCTGAGCAGCTGCAAACCAAAGATTCAAAGATGGCTTGAACACTGATAAATATTTAATGAGAAGACCATTTCCCCAACATTGTGTAATGAGATCAAGGTTTGTGCTAGCATTTATTTTACTTTATTTACGTATTCATTAGAATTTTTGCACTTGCAGAGGGCAGACTTGCTATTTTGAGCAATATGGATGCCCCATCCCTGGCAGTGTTCAAGGCCAGCTTGGACGGGGCTTTGAGCAACCTGGCCTAGTGGAAGGTGTCCCTGCCTGTGGCAGGTGGGGTTAGAACTAGATGAGCTTTAAGGTCCCTTCCAACACAAACCATTCTATGATTATTCTGATTGGTATATAAAATAGCAGACTTATACTGTGACATGACTAACAAATCCAGAAAAAAGGTTTGGAAAAAATAGTGTCTGGAAAAGCACAAATGAATATGTTGCAAGAATTGCTGTGTTGGTTCGGAGTTCTCTGACGTCTCTCGTCCAGAGGGAAAGATGGGGCCTGAAATTCAGCAGAAATTTCTGAACGTGTTTAACACCTTGCTCTTTGTACAGTGCTCTTGAAAATTCTGTAACTTCGCAGTAGGCCACTGTGAACTTTGGGGGGACTAAGAGAAGAATGATCCTGGATAGCAGTGAAATGGACAGCTATGTAAATGCTAGGTGGAATGACAAGGGAGCTTCTGAAAAACAAATAGCAATCCACTGGGGATTCTCCCCTGGATAGAATTCTTAGTATAAAATAAAAAATACTTCAGTGGGGTGTCTTGAACAGTTTGAAGAATTTGGTCTTGCCGTTTTCCCCGTATAGTGTTATAATTTTAGTGAATCTGCTGTAGATTTTAAAGCTATTGATAGCTTTATTGGTGACAGAGAAAAATGTCATGTGTTTTCTGAGTACTCTTCTCTATAAACTGCAAAAATACTGTTGCAGTTGATAAAACTAGGAAGCTAGAAGAAACTTAACTGTCCTATCTTGTCTGCCACTGAAAAACAGCATGAGCCTTTGTCACAGGACACATGGTTTGGTTTGAAAGGCAGTAGCTTTGGAGTAGACCGTCAGTCATACCAGAACCCATCTTAGCTTTTTGCTGTCTTGAAATAAGCATTTGAGGACTTCAAGTCCATGAGAGTTGTCAGAGGTCTCAAACGCTGTAGGTAAGCTTGCACCATCAGAGCCTCTTTGATTAACACTTCTAATCATTTGAATATGCCATGAATCTAATTCTTAGCTCCCTTGCTGACAGATCAATATGAAGCAAGACAAACTGGGATTTAATGCAAATCGACAGTGCTATGGTTAAGGGAGTAGATTTTGCCCACCCATGAGTCGTTCTACATAGTTGGTCTTGACTCCTCTTCAAGTCCCGCATCTTTTGAAACTAAAAAGATAAGTTTGGAAAGTGCTGTTGCTTCTCCTGGGACCTTACCCTGTAGAGCATTTTTTCTTTTGTTGATAGACCCTGTGGATCACATGTATTTATGGCTGCTTATGAAGATCATGTAAGTTTGTGCATGCTTCTGCTAATCCCTTGACTGATGCAGTGGTTTGCTGATGGCTACTGTGCAGATTTCCGTGTTCCCCTCACTGAACTATAAGCTCAAGGTTCTGGCAAAAAGTCACAGACTGTTCCCTGGTAAGCACCCACATCTCCACATGCAAATACAGGCAGGAGGTAATGTAATTTGGAGCTGCATTGTCGTCTCGTGGCTACCGTCTGCTGCTAGGCAGCAACAGGGAGAGAAAGCCAGAGGCAGCACAGTTGCTTCCCCCACCCCCTTTTCTTCACGGATCAGAGATCTGTGGAGTTTGCACAGAACAAAAATGCATTGCTCAGGCCCTCCAGCTCTGAGCAACTTCATTTCATCGCACCGTGAATGCTCATGATCCTTTTCCATCATGTTCCAAAGCCCGGTCCTTAAGGTGGCACAAAATGGAACTGCCCTGTAAGGATTTGCAGTACTGTTCTCTCTGTGTTTGCATTCTGGTTTGAAATCCCTAGGCTCTGGGCAGTTCCCTGATGTGGCAGAGAGTGCACTAGAGGAGCAGGAAAGTGCTGTCATTCCCCTGGAAGTGAGTTGATCATTTCTGTTCCTGTATGGAGATAATGTAGGAAGAGTCCTGGTGTTCATCAGAGCCCTGGGGTATGCATTCAGGCTGTGGAAGGCTGCAGTCCCTTCCAATTGCAGCTCCTGCAACCGTTAGTTAACGGTTGTATGCTGCTAACCCTGTTCAAAGTAAATGAGGAATATTGTCATACTTACATAGGTGCTGTAACTGCTACTGTCAATTAATCTGGTCGCAGGTTTCCAGCTGTAAGAGATGCAGTTTGAGGAGCATTCGGTGTAGGTTTGATTTGAACTGAATGGCTTATCCTCAGTTTGCAATAGACTTGTCATTGCACTCTTGACCTTTTGACAAAGGTATTCAGCATAATTCTTTTTATCATATTTCTAGTTGTTTCAATACAGGATCAGAAACACTTTGGGTATAACTTCATGGAAGAACTTCATAGAATCATGTGATTACTGATGTTGGGGGAGACCTGGAGGTCTCTAGATCAGTCACCCTATTCAGAACAGGGTCAACTATGGCAAGTTGCCTCAGGACCTTGTCCAGATGAGTTTTGACTATCTCCCTTTCTTAAAGCTTCAACTTTAAGCCTGTGACAAAGTTCAAGATGGATGAAAGAGATCACTTAAGGAGCAGAAGGTAGGAACATTTTGGAATAACAAAATGCTTATGCTGTAGATGGACAGTTAGGTGATCATTTGCAGTTCTGAAGGCATCAGAGACATGGTGAAAGTTATGTAAAGGTTTAAGGATGTGTGCCAGTGATGGCATTATGGGTAGGTTTTTCATCTGAGTGAGTTGCAGAGCTTCTCTTATGCCTAAGAGCTGCTGTACCCACAGCCTTTGAGCTTTTCTGTTTCTACAAATAGCCTAACGTGCAGTAAATCCTCGCAGTGATGTTACATTGATGCTCATCAGCAGTGTCATCGTACTAGGTCTAGCTGTTTGGCTGCTGTTATACCAAACAGTTCTTAAAGATTAGGAAAAGGAGGTGGGGGGGAAGCAAAACCCAGGAAACTCCATCTGTGCTTATGGTTGAATGGAAACTAGTGGAAGCGCTCAAGGCTAAATGAATTGATCTCTGGACCAGGGAGATAATCCTGGCTCTTCTGAAGTGTTTGTCAAAAATATGTCACCTCTGAACTGCTGCTGTGATAAACAGTATCTTAACAAATCAGGTATGTCATAGGGTTGCTGTTCCAATTTGTTACATTCAGTCGTTTCTAGTATGGTCATTAGCAATCGTTTTATGATCTTGTCCTGTGGAGTAGCCTTTGGCAGAAGATGTTTTGTCCTGGCTTTATCTGAGCTGTCTTAACTGCAAAGCTGATCTCAGACTCTCTTTTTAACTGCCTCAGTAACCTAGGACTGATCTGGCTAATGGATCTTTTCTTTTGTTTCACATTGACACTACTGCAGCAAGCGGGGATGTTGAAATTTGGATTATCTACCTTATCAAAGGAAGAGGGAGTTGGCTAGAGGATTGTAAAGATTGCAAAAGAGTGGAATTGCAAAGGATATGGAAGGAAATGCTCTTTGCCCCTAAGGGTTGAAAGGAGTTTCTCTAGCAGTACTAACACCAAGATACTAGTTAAAGCTGTTATTTTGATGGTTCTGGGATATTGTTGCTAATCATAGGTACTTGCAGCCTTTAATTCTCCTGAATGTTAAACATAAAGAGACTTTTAAAATTATTATTATTTTTGATAAATCTTGTCCAAGTAAAGCCTCCTTAATAAACTACATAGGGACCTTTGTTTGAAAAATAATAAATAAAAACAAGTCAAAAAAAAAGAACAGAGGTGAGAAAACAATGGCTGGTCTTCAGAGTGGACCTAAACTGAAAACGTCTGCAGTTTTTCCCAAGGAGAGTAAGTGATCGAAAATATTGAATTGTAATTATGATGCTCTCTGGAGACCTGCAGTGAGGACCTGTTTTGCAGGGTAAGACCTGCCAGACTTTTTTTGCCCCTACTTTCCCTCTGATTTTCTCACTTGCTTAGGAACACTGGGAGCTGGGGAGACAGAAAAACAAATTCCACTAGTTCCTATCTGGTTGAACTTCCTGGAACCCCCACTATTTTTTTTGCTTCTCAGAATTTCCTTCCTCCATCCAGCTGTGTTTCCTGATGAAGCCTTATCACTGGAGAAAATGCTCCTGAGTGAGACTGAGGATTTGGGAATGAGTTACAGACAGTCCCAACTTGGTTGCTGAACAACATGATTCTGGCACTGATTTCGCTTTGGGGGCTGGGGGAGTAGTTCTCATTTGCTTGTGCATTTGTAATAACTCTGTTTCAGATGCATAAAAAACAGAATGTTTTGCATCCATCTCACTTCCATGTCTCAGACCATTTGATGAGTAATCTGCTTCCTCCAAATTTTTGTAACTTGGACGTAAACCTGCGTAAGTTCCCTTAAAACACCTAATCCAAGTAGTCCGAAAGTCTCAAGTTTGTGGTGATTTCTTCCCTGTTAGTCATTAGAAATGTAACTATCCTCCCTGTTGCTTG